GGGAGCAGCTGTGGCCACCCCCGGGGCGGGCAGGGTGGGATGCGGCATCCCCGGGGGGCACGGGGGGTATCCGGGGCGAGGGGTGCCACTGCATAGCAGGACGCAGGGCATAGGGACAAATGGCCAGAGCTTGGCTGGTTGCCGTCCTCATCTGGGCTGTGGTGGCCTGGCACAACCCCGCGCCCTGTCCTCCATCCCCTTCCCTGGGATGGCAAGTGGTGACGAGGTGAAGGTACAGCCCAAGGGATAACGCGGGGGCCTGGTCCCCTTTTTTCCATCAGGGACGGATGGGTGGGCACAGAGGAAGAGAGGAGCTGAGCAGAGATGTCCAGTAAGGATGTCCCATGCCCCAGAGGCTGGCACAGCATGTGCCGCTGGCAGGGTTGGAAGGAAGGGCTCGGTGGTGCCAGTGTTGGCAAGATGTGTCCCCGGCAGCCTGGGGCTGGGTCCATGTCTGTGGTCCCCTCCAGTGGGTCACTCCAGATCTGCATCGCCTCGGGCTCTCGTGTTCCCCAGCACAGGACCAGGCAGCCGGGGGAAGCTCTGCCACAAGAGGCTGCGTGGGAAGGTGCAAGGAGAATGTGTGTGAGCTGCTGCAGGGCTGTGCCCCCCGGAGCACCCTGGCTGCTGGCGAGGGGACGCCCTTGTGTGGGTGCCAAGCAGGTTCCCCAGGGGCTGGTCCCCCATGGTGCCCTTGCCTGCTGTGCTGGGCCCAGGGGACGAGACCGTGACCTTGAGGCAGGTTTCCTTCTCTGGGGCCCTGCTGTGGGCACGGCCCCCGTGGCGGGGGCGCGGGCACCCTCTTAGTTTGGAGCTGGCTCAAGAAGTGTGGGTTTGGAGTTAAGGCAGGGGAGTCTCCGAGCAGCTGGGGCCCAGCAGCAGCTCCAAGTACCCAGGGGACAGCTACAGCTGTGACCACAGCTGGCCTCTGCTGGTCCCAAGCATCATCAAAACTGCTGCTGTGGACCTCGCACTCCTCTCCTTCCTTGGCCTTCTCGCAAGGGAGACCTAAAGCATCACGAGGAACGAATTAAAGGGCGTCGTGAGCTTAAAAATACAACCCTCTGTCTGCAGCTGTGCCACCTCCAGCTGCCAAGCGTGTCCCTCCTACCTGCAGAAGATTAGAGAGACTATCCTTTTCCCTGGCTCTTATTTTCTTCTCTTAAACATCTCTCCGGAGCTGCTCCCTGTGCAGGTTTCCCTTGATGCACTCCCCTTTGCCTGGCAGTACCAGTAGGGGTGGGGGGGCCTGAGCCAGGGTCATTCCCAATCCCCCAGCCCCGTCATGCTCTTCTAGGCCTGAGGCGAGCTGATGGCCACTCTCCCTCTCCATCTGGGAGACACAACCCTGATGGTGAGTAGCTCTGGGCTGCCTGGCTCAGCGCATCCTATGGGTCCAATGGATACTCACAGCCCGGAGCAAGGAGTGACACCCCGGAGGTGGCACACAACCCCATGCACCCACAGTCCCCAGGGCTCATGGGGGCCCACGGAGGAGATGGAGCCGGGGGTGGAGGATGTCGGGGAGCAGAGGGGGCCGTAGACGCCGGGCGTAGGCTGGCGCAGAGGAGCCATTGCGGTTGCAGCGCTGGGCTGCCAGCTCACAGCCCTGTGACTGCAGGGAAGGAAGTGGCCTCGCTCCTGGGTGATGGTGAAATGACACTGCGGGCTCTGTTCTCAGAGGCAGTCACGATGCCGGGGTACCCTGAGCCAGCAAGCACCCGGGGCGGGGAAAAACTGGCTGGGGTGTTGCCTTCCTGCACAGTGAGGCATAATCCAGGCTTTGCTGCCTTTTCTGTACTTCGTCAGAGCACAGATCTTCCTGAACGGGGTGAGGGGAAGAGGGAAATTAAGGACCAGTAAGGCGGATTGCCCCAAACCTGCTCCTCACCCACAGCTGCTCCATGGGCAGGGGTTTGCCACCAGACGGATGTTTTCCTACCCAGCAGCATTCCCATGGGTTGCAACCCTCTCTCCTTGCACCATCACCTCTTCACGTGTTTTGCCATTTCCCAAGCACCGGAGGAGTGGAGCAGGTTTTGGCCCCAAGCCCTTCCAATGGTAAATCCTGTATTATGGATGCCTGAGCGTGGATTATGGCTCTGAAGTTAATTCACATGTGGCTAAGTTACCGTTGCTGTGGGAACCTTTAATGCTGAAATTCTTGACTAGCGCGTGTAAAATTAGAGCTCTTTCCATTCGTCCCCGCTGGCTGTTCCCCATGGCGCAGAGGAGCTTGTGTGCTGCAATTTTCTTGGGAGGGTGGCAGCATCTCCCCTCAGCCAGAGGATTTTTGGACAAGCAGGGTCTTTCCCATTGATGCTGCTTCCTTCTTTGCCCAAGTTTTTGGCTTGGGGAAAAAGAATGATGGATGACAGCCAGGAGCCATGTCCCCATGTCCCCACATCATCTCTGTGGGCCCTCCTGGGTCTCTCCAGCCAGCCAGGGCATATCTCCACAGCATGGGGAGTGCAGATGGGTTGCCGGAGCGGGGAGCAGGGATCTTGGCAATGCTCCTGAGCGTGCAGAAAGGGGCTGGACGCCTTGTTCCCTTCTTGAAAACTTCAGAGCTTTGTTCCCGTGGGTGGGAAGCGGTTTCGCAGCCTGCTGCAGGCGCTGAGCGAGCGCTGTTCGCCCACTGGCACTGCCTTCACCGGGCTCGCGTGGGGTGAACAGGGCTCTGCCGCAGCTTGTGTGGTCATTTAGCAGGAATTTGGCTGGGCTGGAGATCAGCCAGCCCTTCTCTGGGCTGTGGATTTGCTTGGCGGGCTGTAGTGTCCATATTGCCACTGCCTCCGTGGCTGAATCAGCCCCTGGCAGCGAGCAGAGGCGGCTGTGGGCAAGGGTGTATGCCCCAGGCTGGAGGTATGGCAGAGGTTTGGCCCTGCGTGCTCTGCAGCTCTTTCCCCTTCAGGTGGTTGCTGATGGAGCTGCAGATCATGCCACCCCAGTGCTCGCCGCTCTGCCCTTGCTGGCTGTGGCAGTGTTCCTGGGGTGTTATAGCAGGGGAGCAGTGCCAGGGCTCACCAGGACGGCACAGACAGGGCTTACCATGCCAAGGAGCAGTGCAGGTCGCTGTGAAGGTCTCAATGAGAGGAAAAGCGGCCCTTAGCCTGCATGTTTGGTGATGGGCTCACAGATCATAGAATCATAGAATGTCCTGAGTTGGAAGGAACCCACAAGGATCATTGAGTCCAACTCCTGTCCCTGCACAGGACAACGCCAAAATTCACACCATATGTCTGAGGGCATTGTCCAAATGCTTCTTGAATATTGTTAGGCTTGGCGCCGTGACTACCTCCTGGGGGAGCTTGTTCCAGTGCACCACCACCCTCTGGGTGAAGAGCCTTTTCCTAATGTCCA